GATCGACACATTTTATCACCTAGTATTTACGGTCACATCTGAAAATATAGACAGGTATACTGTACCGCAAGGTGCAAAAGTTGCTTTAATTTGAATAACTTCATTTTCGATGATTTCAATTATAATCGTTGGATTTTTTTACAAGATCCATAGAAAAAGTTTATTTCGTGTATGAGAAACAGAAGTAGGTATTAATACTTTTTAGAGTGATTTTTTGGGTTGGGGTATTTTTAAAATGCTTAGTTATTTTTGCTTTATGTTGTTCTCTAGCTGTATTAAAATTAAGGTTTTGTAAATGAAAGCAGGTTGGCTCTGGAAAGTTTCGAGCTGAATAAACGGAACCCCACAACGAGCCCGTCGTGGTGCAACTCAGGTAGGGGGACAATCTTTCAATGAGCCGGTGTCGGAAACCCACTTGCCGAATTTGAGTTGAAGGCATGTGAGTGAATTCCGACCTGGGAAAGAGGGAGAGGAATAAAGATTGTAAGCAAGATAGAAGGCTAAAAAAGAGGAAAAGGAAAGGGGGCCAGAACGAAGACAGGGCAGGGGCAGTGGCACTTAGACGTCTATGTCTTTTGGGCTACGACATTTTTTCTCATAATATTTACTATTTATTTAAAAATATGTTAAACGGATTTAATGAGACCATAAATCTCAGAGATCCCTTGCACAGTTCCAAAATGGATTGGAAAAATGGGAATTAGGATAGGTATATTTATTTAGCCAAACTTAAGAAACTTCTTGAATATAGGTATGTGTGACATTCTTTAAAATAAGTATCATTTTTAATTTGGTTTTATAGATAATTTTTTGTGATTACTAATTCATTGATGTTAATATAAATAATTGTTGATAATATAACAGAAATCTTAGGAAAGAAAAATAGGTATACAACTTATAAAGCAACTTCGCATATGCGCTGTAGATGCATGGCCAAAACTTTACAATTCTTACTTTCAAATGACAGACGTCTAAATGCCACTGCCCTTTCTTCGTTCTGGCCCCCTTTCCTTTTCCTCTTTTTTAGCCTTCTATCTTGCTTACACTCTTTATTCCTCAATCGTCCTCTCCCTCTTTCTTCCCGGGTCAGAATTCACTCACATGCCTCCAAACTCAAATTTGGCAAGTGGGTTTCCGACACCGGCTCATTGAAAGATTGTCTCCCCATCTGAGTAGCACCACGACGGGTTCGTTGTGGGGCTTTCCAGAGCCAATCTGCTTTCATTTACAATATAAAAGCAAAAATAACTAAGCATTTTAAAAATTACCCCAACCCAAAAAAAAACACTAAAAATAATTAATACTTTTTAGTGTTTTTTTTTTATTAAAATAAAAATAAGCTTTGCCAAACTAAATCGTCATTGCGGAACCGTTTTGGGACGAGTATTTTTTTTATTTTTTATATCATGCTTTTTTAATTTCTAATACTAAAAACTATATTAAAAAGTTATTTTTATAAAAGACACTATCGCAAAAAATACTTTGAATATATCGGCTTATTAATTTACAAACTAGGATGCTGTAATAATAAACAATTCGTTTAAGAAACACCGCAATGAATAAGGCCATCGAATAAAAAAATCGCACTCAAATCGGTTCATTATTTCAGGAGCTTTGGTGCCACAAACAGATAACTCAAACTTATAAGATCCATCTTATTGCGTCGGGTATTAATAAATAAAACTAAAGTATTTTAAAGAAACTGTTAAATCTTAATAATATCTATAAGCTTCTTACAAATTGAGTACAATATAATATCTTCAGCAAAGTTCTAAAGTTTATTATACACGATAATCATTAAATTATACACACAAAACAACAATTTGTATAATATTTGGTGCGCTTTATGGCCAGAGCGGGACGATATTATGTATATTTCTTATAATAAATAAGACAATGAATATAATCAATAAGGCAAATATTAGCGTCCACTAAAACTTGACATTTGTAGATGATTTGATAAAATATTTTAAGGACTTCAAATCTGTTTTACGCTTAACTATCGTCCCGCGAATGAAACCGATATTTAAAAAAAATCAACAACTCATTAAAAAACTACGTAACAACAATAATTTCGAGACCCTCAATAATTTTCTGATTACGAAATATATAAACATGTTTGTTGCGAGTTTACTACGGTTAAATAAAAATGATATGACTTCATTTGTATAGCCAACAGCTTTACCAGTTTTCCGAAAGCTGAAATATTCTTTCCTGATTTTGAAGCTTGAAACATTGATTATGTAATTCTAAATTGATCGGGCTTTATCAACATTTGGAAACTTAAAATGCTGATGGGTATACATGCGCTATATTGTGACATTGATAAAAAAATCTAAAATTATTATATAACCCAAAAATAAATTTAACTTTATTTGTAATGGATTTAACTCCAGTCACATTTATTTGTCAGTTTGTTCATTTGTTGATAAAATAGTTTAATTCACATACATTTTTCCTATAATTACAACAATAAAAATACTGTAAAACCTGTTCTTACTCTAATATTTTATATACAAAAATAGTTGTGTTTATTTATTCAAACGAAGTATTGATTTTTTACAGTAAAAAGTTGAAATTAAAAAATATCCCTTTGATAATTTTCATCACTTAAATTCAAGTTTAAACATATATTATGACTAATCTAACAGATAGTGTGTCTAAAAAATCTAAAAAGATTTTTTTTTTTATATTCTGCCATATTTTTTTTTTGTATTACATACTTATAGATCCGATAATATATTCAAAGTACTCGTGGAATTTTTCAAATGACGAAAAGGTCAACCATGAAAAAGTAGAATAAAAATGTATTGTACTTTTACAATTAAATTACAATGTTAAAGATAATTTTACAGCAAACAAAATGGTATTGAAAATAAATTTCGTAAAGCAATTATTACTATTAAATGTCTTTTAGACGCAGTAAAACACTTATAAGGTAAAAATTTGTTAGAATGCTACCCCATAAACATTATTTTAATGATACTTCTGGACCTATTTCACAATCGAAATAGGTAGATCTTGCTTTTTCTGATAATGTTGTTGGTTTAGTATGGATATACCTGATCCTAAGATTTCAATATTACTTTTTATTATAAATAAATAGAGCTTTTTTATATTTTTCACAAAATATTAAACAGTGTTTTTTAAATTCTCGAATATATAAGTATGTTTCTGTATTATTAAATAGATAGAATATGAATGAATATATTGTAAAAAAAAGTATAATTATTGATATCTATTTTTTGTTTGATTCTCTGTTGTTTGTACCTTATAAATATATAATTTAAAAAATATATGTTTTAGACTTTTGTAACGTATTGTCAATTATTCTGTCAAATTGTAAGATTTTAATTCTAGTTTAAGACACTCCTATGGATTTTGGAGAACTTAATGTGCGACCTCTTGTAAGCTAGTTTGTTTTGATCATGATGTAGTGTACTGTAATTATATGTCATCTGTTTAATTTTGTCATATCAATGTAAATTGTATCACTGTTTGTTGACCCCTAAAAAAAATAAAAAATCTCGAATGCCGGAATCATATCCACATCAACATATACCTACTAATAAGACTACTTGACGCTTTATTCACTTTACGTTGAAAGCAATAAAAGTTGAGAATAAAATATATCAAATCTCTATGATACTGAAGCAAAAAATATATTCTACTGCGAGTATTATTAACTCACATAAGGCACATTTTACTCAACTATTCAATTACAAACCGAAATACATTATGTATATAAAACTATGATATTGGAAGATCTAATTATATTTTCGGTGTATATATAAACTTTGGATTAATGGCATCAAATTGAAAATATCACAATGCTTCGCTACATTACAGTACTTTTTATATTATTTGTAATTATTAAATTTAGATTATATAAATGAAAACATAGGCCTCAATTTAAATTCGAGGTTGTCACGAAAATAAATGATAACATCCGCATTTACAGTTGTTTTCTCTCTCTCTCTCTCTTTCACTTTCTTTATGACACTTTTGTAGTATATACACAAATGAATTACATTAAAATGGTAATACTGCAAAATATATATTTCTTAGTTATTTCGTGCACCACTGATACATTACAATAATGGTAACATGAATATAAGTACTCTAAAATGGTGGGAATTAAATAATGGCTTAAATGTAATATTTTGTAATGGTAACCAAGAAGAAAAATCAACAAAGCACAAAAAATTTTTGGTCACCCATCTTTCGAGTGGTTTGTAAGACACTGCAAACTGAACGATTTTAACCTTTTTAATGTTATTTATAACCTTTTTATATTAAATTTATTACTTATCAATGTCTTGTTTTTTTGTAGCGCATCTACTGGGTTTCAATTAGAGATCGTCTTTGAAATTAAAATATTAAAAACGACAGTAAATTCTTATCTTTAAATGCCAATCTTCTAGTCACACAATGAGAGGAAATATCTATCAGGTCGTTCTTATTACAAAGAAATAAGGGACGTACCTGTGTAAATATTATACAAAACAGACGTATATAATTATTACAACCATGTCTAAAACAAATGCTTTATTATGCTTCTCACTAATGATCGGAATACGTAGTGTTATTTTTGGTACTAACATAAAATAGTATGGATATCCACTTGTTACCGTAAAATAATTATAAACTAACAATGATCTACAGTAATAAAAAAAAAGTTACGGCTTTTTATTAATATGAAATCCTCTGGTTATTAAACAGCCCCTACAGTTGTTTTATTAAAGGTTTAGGTAACTCTAAATATTCAGATCACATCAATGTTAATATATCAGACGTGGATACAGATATCTATTCAACAAATCGACAGATATATACGTTTTATTTGAAATGTATATATTATATCAGACGTGGGTGTGATACAGATATCTATTAAAAAAATCGAAATAGCCTTACATTTTCCGATCATTAGATAATGTGATCCTACCGATATAAATGAATATAGAGTGCCGATACCGGAGCAGCGACAGATCTATTTAAATGTTATTGTTCTGAACATTTTTCTTTTTAGGGGGCGGAGTAGGTGGTTTTTCTCCACCAGTATTCTTTCTCATTGCTATAGAATTGTATAAAAAGGAACCTCTAGGAGTCCATACTGTGTCATAGTTGTTTCTCGGTGGGAGCGGTGTCGTATCAGAATTATTATTATTATCGCCGTCTAAGTCCATACTTCTGTGGGATAACTTTTCTGGAAGCGGTGGCGGTTCTTCTTCATCTTGGTTGGAATCTGTTGTACCTGAAGACAATATGATTTACTTAGATACCTAACTTATCACGTTTGCCTAATATTTGTCTGACTTTTAATAGTTCATTTATTGTTAACCAGTCCTGATTTTGAAAATAAAATCCATCATATACATATATCACAAAGCTATTATACATTATTACTCAACTCTATATGGATACCACTACCTAATTACAGCTAATCTGGTGATATCCGATTAAAATAAGGTTGAAAATTGATTGTACTCAATCTTACCCATGGAGTCTCTATTTGAAGGTGGCGCAGAAGAGGTGAGAAAGCTAGTCCTTTGCGAAAGTCGTCTCTCTCGCTCTACTGCTCTGAGTGGTCGTTCAGTCACAAGCTACAGATTATAAAAATGGTAAAAATCATTTTTTATACTTAGATAATTATCTCATATTTAAGTATACATCGCAAGCCAAGCTACGATGAAAGCAAGTATTTTGTTTATATATTAAGATTGCTCATACATGTAAAAACAATAAGATATAAACACATTGTGGTGTCTTTTGGCTTCAGCTGCAAATTAACTCGCATATTTATAATTACGAGTAATAAAAAACCGGCCAAGTATGAGTTGGACTCGCGCACGAAGGGTTTCGTACGTTTGTTGTATGGGTGCCCCCTTAAATATTTATTTTATTCAATTTTTTAGTATTTCTTGTTATAGCGGCAACATAAATACAGCATCTGAATATGTTTCAACTATCTAACTTTCACGGTTCATGAGATACAGCCTGGTGACAGACAGGTATTTGGGACAATTATTTCATTTGGACATAGGTATCATTATATATCATTTGAACGTAAGAAATAGTTTTCTCATTTTTATACACACGTCAGGTTAACACAATATGTCAAATTTCCTCAATTAATATTCTTAATGAAAAATGCTTAAAAGACACTCTGAGATGGGACTCAAATCTATGACCTTTCGCAATCCGGGCGACTGCTCTAACCACTTAGCTACCCAGCACTTAACAGGACTGACGAATTTTTCAAGCACTTGTTACTTTTATACTACTACAGAGCGCATTTTCATCAATGTTCAGGCAATCCCCCAAACAGCCGAAAGAAATATTGTTACAAATATTTAAACTAATTGTTGATAATGATGATGAGTGTAGCATTTTGAATGCAAATTGAACAAATAAAATAAATTCCTCAATTAATATTAACCGTCTTTAACCGACAACTTTACCGTCAATGAATTAAGGTTTCAAATCAAGCGTAGAAATTTGACAGATTTATATAAACTGACATGCCTGCACTTTACTTCTTCTATTCATAATTAACTTGCTATATGCACTTTATTAATAAATTTAAGTATTATTTTATATTATTAACATTTAACAATAAAATAAGTAACGAAAGCATTTAATAACAATAAAGTAATGATATTTATTACAAGTAAATAAATTACAGTACTTAAACAATATAGGTTTGTTAAATACAATATATTAATGACTGTTATTTTAACTAGCGTAGCTTGCGCAAGCATATAAATTAAGTCGGATCATAATTTAAATAGCATTTTGGACATAATCTGAAGAAACTCATACATGAAACTAATGCATTGAATAACAATTCAATTTTTAGACGACTGCCCAATAAAAAATATGTATTGTTGTAATTTTATTATGATAATGATTACGTAGGGTACATCTATGTCAACAATGAGTATTATATTGAACGTTGATCCCTCATTATACTTATAAAATAGTTTCTAAAATATTACTCATTTATTATTAAAAGTTGTTGACCTACTGGTCAATTCTAACTTAGCCATTAAAAACTTAAGTAAAAGATGATTCCTATTTAATGAAATTTGCAATTAATAATAGAATAACTATATCCAAGGCATATAATATTATATCAGTATTGTATAGTGCTAATTGGTAAAGAGAGATCTATTACTTTCAGACAAAGTTCATATTAAGAAAATCATGGTTTAGGATTGAAATGACCTTTGCCAGAACCAAAGTGATCTGTCATAGTGCTTTACAATATAGATATATATTTTTTTGTCAATATGGTTTACAGCTTTTATAATAAGCTGGGCACTAAGCGGCGATATGCATAATTATGATTGTAATTATACCATGCCGGGAATAGCGCTTGGCTGCTTCTCTTCGGGTGTCCTGCATTTAGGGAATAAACGAAGAAATTTCTTTTGAGTCTAAAAAATTAGTCTATCCATATACACAATCATTGAAACAAAATAAAATTACATTAAAGATTGAGCAAATTAAAAACATATATTAATTTGATTGTGATTATGTTTACGTACCAATGCAACCATTCCAATAGCATTGGTAAGTAAACATATATAATTACTAATTTTGTACTGATTATTTGTTACCTACAATACTTAATTAAGGATCTTACTGCTATTCGGTCCGTTTCTTTTTTTTTTCTTACACTAAACACATTAAAAGGCTTTTTAGTGGGACAACTATTGTGGGAGTGGGTTATTCAATATCTTCCCTTATATAAAGGGTATATATTTATATAAGTATAAAGCTTATATAAATATACAATGGACTCAAATAAACAGTAATCACGTCATCCCTATTATGCGCAATAGTAACATGCACTAATCGATAATAATGCGCCCTTGGTAATATTTTGAAACCGTGACGATCCGGCAAACCGGAGGTACAGTTATATGTGTAAAAATAAAAATGTGTACACAATGACTACCAACCTCTTGCCGTAACTCCCTTAGAGGTGAAGCTGAAGGAGTATCAGGTGTAGTATTGTTATTGTTCGTTGTTGGTGTGTTCGTCGTAGTCGTTCCGTTAGTTGAGTGACTAGTGTACCACTGACTTCCACTCGCTGGAGTGCCCACTTCACTCTAATGTGAACGAATGATGTGCATTAACACTAAGTAGTCGAAATACTTGTGAAAAAATTAAGGAAATGGGTTTTTGTGTCACACATTATGTACACGACAAGCTGGCAATCACAGTAGTAATCTAATAGTAACACTATTAGATTACTACTTTGAGTACAATATCTGTTCATAGAACGGTCGCCGCACATAAGATTTTCGTATGTTGACCTTTGTGCCTACTGATAGATATCGTAAATATAATAGGTTCACTTTACTATGAAAAAATTGGCTAGATGCACCTGTGCAAACAATATGAAAAGAGATATGTAATAGCAATATGAAAAGAGATATGTAGTGCCGGGTCATTGTACGAAATTCTTTATGTTCAGCGACCGTGCTATACCAGAAATATTTCATATAATGTATATTATGTTTTTACTTAATGAATAAATATATCTAAAACTCTGCACCGTTATTAACAGAGTGTCAGGGATAGTGCAATACCGCGTTAATAAAACTTGCATTTAACAGCTAATTTGAAGTTAATTGTAATTTCAATTCACTTTGAATAAATTCTTCATTACATGTGTTAGCTAGACGGTGTCGCAATATCCTCCGACGATATCTTATAATATACAGTAATATCAACAGTTGCAAAAAGTATCGATCAATGGTATAGACATACAAATGATTTTGGTACTTTTTTTTATTGTTTATTTGACATTTACTTTGAATTATGATTATTACGCTTTGGTTCAATATTGGTCTCATTAAGTTTCTCACCTTCCTGCCTCTTCGTTTGTCGCGTCGCTTGGGCGTACTTTGTAAAGTTCCAAAATAACTAACAACTCCACCGCTACTGTTCCTACTTCAAAATAAAATTAATCACGTTATCATAAATGTATTAACATTATTTGAGCAAACTGCATTCAAAATCATATCTTTTTGTAAAATATCTAAGAACTGTAATATACTTATGTTTCGGTTACATGTTTTTGTCTTTTTTTAATATGTATATATTTATAAAGGATTTGCGGAGTGACACAAACTGATGTGTGAATTAAAAGAGTTATCATATAAAATACTCTAGAGGGTTTTAAAAATAGAGCCCTCATTTGTAACTAACAACAATAGTCATAGTCCTATTATTGCTTCTATTTTAAATCTATATGTTCAGATTACAGATTTGCATCGGCAGGCTACAAAGTGACTTTGGTTTAATTTAATGTTAACATAAACTTGCTCACACGGTTACTCAATTCATTACTGTACTGTTATTTGATATTGGCATACCTGGCTAATGGATTAATTGCACTGTTGAAACTGAAAAACTTCGATCTCGATGCGGAGCTAAAATAAAACATTTAAAAGTTTCATTAATAAGGATCATCAACTTAGAAATGTTCGTGTAACATCTTATTTAATACAAAACTAAACCTAGTCACGCACTTATAATGGCTATTGAAAAGAAAATTCAAATATATTCATGTATATACCTCTACAAGCATACATAATAGTAAAATCGTTTATCTGTAACGTACCAATTCTAGTATGGTTCTGGTACATTTATGTCCGTATTAGTGCTAATAATTCTTTTACTACACTCGTCAGTGAAGAAATGGATGGCGAATGACGAATTATTTGTTGGATTAAGAACAAAGTTTCGAAGGCGGATGGGAAATATTTTATCCTTAATACTGCTCCAATTATTTGTCTAAGCCAATGGTTATCGTTGCTCGTTCGCTGTCTACACCAATATTATAAATAGGTAAAATTTCTAACTTCATTTGTAGTGTTAATTTTAAGGGGCGCAGGCGAAGACTCCTATTAAAAAAAGCTAGTTGAATAGATGATCATGATTCTTTACTTTTCTTCATTTCAGTTAGTATGTATTAGCTTGCTGGTATATCGGGGTCATTGGAAACATAATTAGTTCATCGTTTCAATTAAAAAAATATATAAACTCACTCATTGCCAGTGGATATATCAGAGATCCTGTTGTTGACCAGAGCAGGGTCGGAGGGTAAACTATCCCTCATACTCCTCAACTGCACTTCAGGTGTTTCAGGTTCAAATTCACACATCTGTCACCAAAAGAGTATTATTAATAGTTTTTAATATCAGACCATAGATCTAAATAATGTAAGTAATAGAATTTAATCTACTAACCTACGATAAAAAAGAAATCCTTGGCAAATAAAAATGCAGAGAATATTAACTATTTTAATAGGTTAAAAACAAAGCTTCGCTTTGATATTATATGAGTGAACAGAAATACGATATTTCAGACTCCTCTTTGCTTGGAAACGCGCTTTAATTCGTTGATTTCGAATACATATGTACTCTTTAACACGTACCTATTCACACTGCTATGGCAAGTTCTTCCTATTTGGGACCATTTCCATAGGGAACGTTTCTACCTCAGTATTAAGGACATTAATAATGATGATAAGCCACGCATGTGAGTAAATGATTGATCGAAAATCGCCAATAATGGGTTAAGTGGTTGGTTCATAAGAAAGTAAGAGTCGGTGTTATCGAGAGAGTAAGTAAGTTAAGGTTCCATTAAATGTTTTAAATATAAAATAAGAGATAAGCACCCAGTTGCACGCACACTAATTATGTTTTAATGATGTCTTACAATGGATGTTCTAAATTTGAAAACTTGTATCGATAATTTCGCTTCAATTTAATGGACGTTTGTGCAACTTGGTGAATTTGAATAGGCTAATTGACAACCTTTTTTTTTTATTTTAAATAGCAAATTTTTATAGAATATATTCCCTACTTTATTCAAGTTTTCAAAAAGCAATATTTTCCAAATTAATGTCATAAAATTTATTTTACTAATTATTATTTATAAGTTAAAATGGTTCATATTTTCCTGTTGTGTATTTTTAATTAAACCAGTATTTACACTTGAAGGATACAAGCCTATTAATATAAATAAATAAATGAGATGTAAGCACACAGTAGCACAAACATTAATTGTTTTAATAACGCATTACGCTCTAATAATTGTTCTAAATTTGTATACAAGCTAATGAAAACTTAACAAACGTTAGTGCAACGGGGCGACTTCTATTAATGTAAATAAATGAGTATACAAGCGAGTTTTTATGTATGTAAGTTATAACATACCTTCCTGCCGTACCGTTGGTGCACATGGTGTTGCACGCGACGGAAGCACGCCAACAAGTGCGCGTGCAGCGCCTCCATACTACTGGGCACTCGAGATCCGTGCACTTCCAAGCCTAACGCATTATTTTATTTAAAATAGGGTTGTCGACAACTTTTTTATATTTTAATTTTATAGATACACATGAAATATATCTAAAAAAGTATAATCCGTATAATAAATTAAAATCTAAACATAAGTATAATTTTCAAATATTCCCGCAAAAACTTCACTTCTGAAACTTACATCGTTCTATGTATGCAAAGGTTGAAATCTCTAAGTTCTGATATGAGTAAGAGGGGTGTGTCGTTATACACTGTTTACGGTCATGTGACAACGAATATAAAATATTACATTTTTCATAATTCATTTGAGCAATATGTATTATAAAAGTGTGATTATCAGTAATAGCAAACACTAACAGATAAATGTACTTATTTTCGTTTACTGTCTTCACCTATATTAAGGAGAACACCCCCATTTTTTTTAATAGAAAATCTAGAAGTTCCATAATAAATAATGCAATTTATCAAACGCTATTCAACTTTTAGTGTAAGTACACATTCGGCGATTTGAAAACCTTCGAGTATGATAGGTCTGTATACATTATAACGCGAGTTGTAATGTATACAGATGTTAACCTCGCCCTTTCAGATATATAGGCAACAATTTCGGTGTGCGTTTAATGTAGAGTTAACACACTAACGAAAATAGAAATCGAGTATTTGGTACGGTCTTGTTCGTAGGTAAAATTCAAATGCAACCTGAAATTCCATACGTCTATTTGTCTAAGTATCAATGACTAAATTGATACAAGTCTTACCGTATTTAAGTAGAGGTATTTGATCAGCTATGAGGTCTTTAAGTTGTTGTAATAATTCAGCGTGTTCTGGGTGTCTCGCTTCATATGACGGCGTGAGGAATGCACGCTCATAGTTCACTATACCACCTTGTACTGCCGGATCTAATATACCTATAAACGATTTATAGATTGTAATTATAGTTCTAGAAAGTTACCAATGTACAAATTGAATAAAGAATAAAGTATGAAAAGTCTAAAACTCGAACTTCATGTACCGAGTCAAATGGTTTTCTTCAATTATATATAATCTATGTTAAAACAGTAAATCAATAAGTACTAATAATGTCAGTATTTAATGTCAGTATAGAACTGATTGTGATTCTAAGATTTAAATACAAATTGTTTAAATAAAAATCTCAACAACTTAAAACACTACTCTGAAATAGTTGTACCCACTCCATACCGTTACTGCTAAATTACTTACCATTTAACCTCATCGTGAGCGGTTGTAGAGGAGCATCGGGTGCTCGAGCGGATAATATTAGTGCTTTCAAAGCTCTATTAGATTCCCTGAGAGCTTCCACAGCAGCTTCTATTGGCGACACCCAGAACGTTCTCTGGCTAATGACCGGGAACCATCGGAGGATGCCTGAATAGAAAATTAATTTATTTCCTATATTCCATTTATTGTAAATAGAAAGTAAATAACTTTTGGAGTTATCATTAATTTTAAATTAGACTTTTCAGCACTATTATTTTATCAGATCATTTCAATGTTTCCAAATTTGTTTATATCATCTGAAGTGGAATAACACATAATAAAATCAATATTTGAATTTTAAAAAATTACAATTCGTCGTACATTTAATTCAAAACTACATAAGCAACAAAGTTCACAATCGTCCAAATCTGAAAGATGAAAGACTAACGCAACAATTTTTCTATAAAAAAAAATATTTTGAGAAAATAATACTGTCTATAGTACAATAATTAAATCCTCACTGGGCGCTAACGAACGGGACAAAAGTGTACCTTAAGATAGAAATATACCTGGTAATCTATCACTGATCTCTAGTTCCGTTCTTTCTAACCATCTCGTCGCAAATTCATTTTGACTAGACAAATCATCCGTTGATCCGTCTAAAGATTCCTCTGAAAATAAAAAAAATGTGTATAATACAGATGTATATATAAACTAATGCTTTTTCTCTTTTTATTGACTTTTGCTTAAATAAATTTAAACTCACCTGGTCTATGGAAAGGCCTCGAGAAGACAAACTTATCAACATTATTGTGCTTATAGTACATGAGTATTTGGTCCGCTACTGGCTTTCCCGATAGCCGCTTGAGTTTATCGCTTATAACGGGTTCCACTGCGTTTATTTGGAGATCTAATATGCAACTGTTAAGGTTTCATTTCAAATGTCTATAGATTATCTAAATTAACGTTGATATTAGAGTTGAAGTTAATTTTTTAAATAGTGTACATTAATAGTTGCGTAATATACAATATAAATTTTACATACGCGCATAAAAAAGCAACCCACACTTAAGTCTATCATAGTAGTCCATCTTGGTAGGGGATTGGTTAAAAACATTATGTTATACCGGTTATTTAAACAATTGACAAAATAATTTTTCATATATTAGAGACCATAGATTCATTGGATTGTTAGCAATTATTTACCACAGTACCTGTCTTTCGGATACTGAGTAAGTGTGAAAGTTGTTAGATATCATAGTTTGGCGGTTATAGCAATGGATACTCGCAAAATAACGCTTGGTTTTATCAAATACTTATTAGATCGCATGCGTTGTCGCTGCTTAAAATTACCCCGGTAGCACCATTATATCACGTGGTTTTAATATGGACGTGTAAAGGATACATTGTCCATCAGATTCTGTAATATCTTCACCGGGTGGGTCTAGCTTTGGAAGCACGTCGGCGTCAGGCCATTCGTCTAGTAAACGCTCTTTGAAGTCTTGAAGCTGTTCGTATTCATTACCACGATATACGAAACCCTATTGGAATAAGCATTATTTATTATTGTTGTCGAGTCACTGTTATTTGTTAAATCACAAATAGTTAGTATTGCAGTTCAATTCAAACTTTATGAGTTCTCTAAAGTTAACTAATAGGTACATAAATGCACCCAGATCGCAAAGATTCAATTGAATTAAATAAAAATTAAACTGAAATCCTATTTATTTATCGCCAATAGTTTGTTGGCGAATTATAAATAGTTAATCTGTTTCATACTATAATCAAAACATGAAACTTTACATTAAGTAAAAACAAAAACTTATAAATAAGCAGCTATAATACTTGAAGCCACAGTTATTTAACAAACGACGATAAACAAATGAAATCTTAACTATACCAAGAACGGAACGCAAGTGTCTTTAGTTTACGTATGCACTCACTACTGATTTTTAGGAAGGTAGTGAGAGGCGTTGCTATTGCGAACGAATGAGTGAGCGGGCGTGAAATGTTTATAGAAATTTGAGGGGTACTTTAATTGTCATTAGCCTATCAATGTTCCCGCTGCTGGGACTCAGACCTTCCTTATGAATGGCATCAATTAAAAATCGATTAAGGTTTGTGGGTGTATCTGCAGCCAGGACCAACGGCTTAATATGCCTTTCGAAACGAACAGAAAAAAAAATTGGTTACGCATTCTACGAGTGGCCCATGCGAACATTACTTTACTATCACATTACTCTTCCGTGCCATCGAGCTCCACGTAACTATCGCATAGCCGACTTACTGTTCCGTGCCACCATGCCCTATGTAACTATCCCTACGTACTATGATAGTAGTAGCAATACTCACACGCGGTCCCCTCAAATGGTGTGGAAATCCCCGTCCGTGATAGAGCACCCGAAAATATCCGGGATGGTATCGCGGGGTCCGCAACATACCGCCATACAATCCCGCCAGCTGAGAATGTAACTCCGCTAGGGGCCCGTACCCGAGTGCTTCCTCCTCGTACACTGACACAAGTTCTTTCACTATCTCCACCGCTAATTCCCACTGTCGACCACGGTTCAACAGCTCCGCTATCTCCAAGTAAAGATACTCCTAAACAGAAATCGTAAGGACATTTAATGAATCCAGCGGTGATAGACGAGGAGTCGATCACTATTGTGCTGTAAATAAGGTCTATTATTATTTTTATTTGTGTAAAGTTATTGTAAATACGTTTACCAAAAAAAAGTGTGAGTGTTCCAGAAAACAATTATGAAGATGCGACAAATCGAGTAGTATAATAATATTATAAAGAGGTAAAATTTAATTGTATATTTGCATTGATAAGATTCAAATCTGGATCGATTTTGGTGACATAAGATATTATTTATGAGGACTAAGTCGCGGGGAAACAGCTAGTTTATTTCAATTATTTATTTTATTTATTTATTATAATTGAAACCAACAGCGTTACAAATAATAGTATAGGTTATAACAAGCTTAACATTAAGGCCAATAAAAGGTTTCACATCATCAAACATTTACACGTGTTTTTTAAAGATACCGATCATACAATAGTAAAAGTGGTATTTCTATTGCATTTCTCTTATACAACTTTTCAATATAAGATTGACAAAAAAGGAAAAGCAATGTCTCAGAAAATTCCTGCCAATTACAAAAGAAAACCTCTCAGTTACGAGCATATGGCATTGTAGAAGCATAATTTACTGTAAAATGTCACTCCTGTTATAATAGTCCAACAATCAAAAATTTTATGAGAAAAAAAATATATTTGGATTCAGTATATATTCATATTCAAAAGTATAAGTACACCAATATAGTTACGGTACAGATATTGTAACAGAAAATCTAATAGTAAAAAGGACTCGAATATGAATCTCACCTTTAAATCGCGATGCGTGGAATGTCGATCTTGCGCGTCGGGCGAAGGGTGTCTCAATCTGGGCGGTAAGGGGTCAGTTGTCCACTGCAGCAGTTTCGCGTGTAACCTTAACGATAGTCCAGCTTCTGCCCATTGCTGGGCTACTAGGTGCATATTAGCTAATTTATGCACGTACCTGGTTTAAGGTAGGATACTATTTATTTAACATAAAGAATTTTTCACACATGATGAAGGTCACATCCATTTACTGTATTTTTTTGGTAATGGAACTCCAAATAACGATATTTACTGAATAAATCCTTTGATAACTAAATAAATTACTTTGTAGTTTGAATATTATCTAAATGTTGGAAAAACGGAAAAAACTATAAATGACAAATAATAGTGTAAATTTAAAATGTAGTCCTCAATAATGTTTACGAATGTTTTTTTTAACTCGCGTACAGAACACGGAGCCTCTGTTAACCTTCTACGGAGCACTACGATTCCGAGGACTACCTTTTGGGAATGTTAATGTCGACGCGTAAGACAATAGGGATGGTGACTAATTTTTGTTTATTTGAATGTAATTAATTAATAACGGCGATACATTGAGTTAAAATGTTGCATGACATCACGCCCTTTTTTAAAATTTCTTGTTTAAATTAAAACAAAAAATATATTTAATACTTTTCTATTATCTGACTGACGCACTAAATAGAATTTCTTTGTTTTATCCAATCGTCATCCCTATTCTACGAAGTACCCGACACTGACTCACCGTATATACATATGCGGTCTCTCTACTTGTTCATAGAAGTGCAGTACTCTAGTAGTGAGATGCATACGATGTGGTGTCGCAGACCTGAGCGCGGCAGTTCTATATTGCAGTAATGTATCTAATTGCCGCGCGGCAGCCGCCACTAATGCCGCTGCAGCCACTCGCAACCCTCCCGCTGCCGCTCCACATAACGCCCCACATAAAGATACGAATTTAGCACGCCAAGAAGAATCCCCTAAGCCACTTTCTACCAACACGTCCAATTTGTCTATCAGTTCGCTTTCCACGTCTTTCAGGTGACTCTCTATAAAAAAATATGTATAATTACATAATAAATACTTGAATAAACCAAAAATACTCTCTGATTACTCTAGAATAAAACCTATTTATAAAGTGCTAAATATTAATACGAATATAAAATAATTATCGCAAACTTACCACTTTCACCACTTGCAATGCTATGTAAATATTCAGTCTGCATCATATCAAAGAACAATGGTATCGTTGTATTTCTTACTTCTTCATCTCTCAAAAAGCTCACTTCTAATATAGGACCTACTAAACATGGAATAAAAGATCGCTTGTGTTCTCCTGAAAAGAAAATAGAATATTCGAGTTTTATAGTAGTATATATAGATAATATATTATTAGTTTTATAGAATATTTGATTTCATTGATACAGGTACAGCTGATAAATATGGGGAGTATATTAAATGATACTGTCTCCAATAATTTATATTAAAATCCCGGAGTCTCAGGAACCTCTATTCGGTCATAGTATTTCTGTATGTCTAAAGTAGATAAGCAAATAGCTCTCCATCTTGCAATCACAGATCATATTATTTAGACTTTTTCTACTTATATACCCGACTTGGATACAAGCTTTTAACACTACAACATGAATAAATTAAAAATTATTATCTATGGGTAATACCAAAAATGAGTAAAATAAAACTGATGTGTAATAAGACAAAAATATTGATCATTTAAATATAGACTATATTCTATTTTTAGCAATTTGAGCAGAGCAAATAATAATTGTTTTTCAATTTTAGGATAGCAGGCATGATATATTTGTTGTATGCAAATATTATCACGTTGTATACGTGATCAACAATTACCTCCCTTGTCAGCAATATGTGTCACGTACTCTAAATCCCCCTTTACTTTAAGTAGTACATAAGTTGAAGATTTAGTTAGTTAAATAGAGATCTACAGCCTAGAAGTTAGTAACATCTCTCCCTACCGCGCTGACGCTATTTCATGGCGACCCTAACCACGATGGTCCGAGTCTACGAAGTAGTGTTTTATTGTGTTGTGACGTGGGCCAGAAGTCAAGCAGTAAGTTATTTTTCAACAAATTAATGTTGGGATAATATCGACAACAATAACTGACTTCTAGAGAATACAATGAACTTTGACGGACTTAAAGTAGGTGCAGGAAATATATACATAAGTAGAAGATATAAGAAGTGGAAATCAGCAATGAGTTAAACGTTGGAAAATATGTGAGCTGTAATATAAAATAAATAATAAACGGCGTGTTATTGAAGAAATGAAATATTGGAATATGCTGAATTACTTACTCAATAATGTAAGCCAATAAGCCAAATGTGAAGTTTGAATCAAGAATAAAGACAATAGGAAGTGTTTATGGTATCTGTAGAGCAATTAATAATTTTTCGTATATCATATTTAAATGGTAAAAACTGTAAGTATTACGTCTCGTAACTTTAATAATTACTATAAAAAATTACACATTTTGCTAATATTTATTAAGTTTGTTGTAGTGTTTTTTTTTTAATAATGAAGCGGTTTGACTTTCCTTACGGCTGTAGAATTATTTCCCATAATTTCGGGACAAGAGGTCTTTGATAGATAATATTGAGTATTATTGATGAAAATTCGCAACAATTATTGATAAATTTTGTCCTGAAAACTCGATTGTTTTTAGTAGAAAAAAATTATTTAAAGTCTAATTATGAGAAAGTTGATAGTTGAATTACTAACATAAAAAGTTGTTTTCTGCTGAAAAAGTGTCCAACCAATATTCAAATTAAATTTATTAATTGTAGGCAAGGAAGTAGGTCTATAAAATCATTTGGTTCAGAGATAGATAAACTGTTGTACGATTTAACGTTAGCACAGTCGAAAAATGATAAAACGAAATATAAAATGCTAACTTCCATCATAACTCGGTTAATTCTCCTATCTTTATTAGTAGAGAAACCCGATTTTATAAATAATAATTTCAACAGAATAAAAGTAATTCAAATCGTTAGATAAACAATAGCAAACTACGAGAAAAAATTAAATTGAAGTTAAATTAAACTAAATGAACATTTATGCGCGTACACAATTATTACGCTGACTTTGGAATTAAATCATATTCACTAACGCGACCTTGCTGACATATGAAAATATTACATAACTTATTGTTTATCGAATTTAGTAATGTCGTGAGTTTTATATAAACATACTTTTTGATATTTAATTAACAATTATCTTTAAAAATTTTAATAAATCAAATATTAAACCCGAATCATTTATTACCAAAATTATTCATTAATCAAATATTAAACTATCTCATTCTAAGTAATACCTATTGCATTTCTATCGTATCTTTCGTCTACAAACATTTGTTCAAAATAATTCCCTTTTATATATACATTTTTACTTTCCAGGAATTCAACAAAGTCATCCTAATTATTTTCGGTTTTATTTATTGTACTATCATTATAACTTCTTTCACATTTACTATTATTATAATTTTTATTGACCATTTCTTTCGGACATTTAACTGTTAAGTTTGGTAGGACCACTTTATACTTATTTATTAAATTATGCAAATTCGCAAACCATTTCTTATCAATAATCAAGCTTTTAACATTTATATCTCGACAAAATACCTCAAAATCTTTTATAAATCTATTCCCTTCAAAAAGTGACGAGGTTTGAATAAACATGGCTGATTTTATTAGTACATAAACACATAGTCCTTTTTTAGAAAAAAAATACATTTGTTGTCCTTAATGTCCTTATCAAATAAATCCTTGACGAATATGTCTACATAATAATTTGTTTTCCCATGAAACTGTTCTACAGGCGCACATTTCTTGCCTACTTTAAAATTCTCGACTTTTACTTTTATTTTTAATTGATTTTTCTTAGATGTCCTCCAAATAAAAACTATTTCTATTTGCTATATTAAAATAATTCTCATGTATATGAAAAATATATTTATCTGACTTTAAGTCAAAACTTCTAACATGCTTGATAAAATTATCTAAGTCTGTAAAAGAGTTACATGAAGAGCTGCATTCTTCAGCTACATAGAGAATTTGCTTATCACGCGAAACTCTAAAATCTAAATCTGACCTCGTTTGCTTTCTCAGTTCATTAAAATTACTAATATCTCTATTATACTTTACACATTGAGAATTACTACTTGATTTTAACACATTGATTATTATATTTATACTAATTATTTGGCTATCTATAATATATAAAGCTCAATTACCACTCACTGACTCACTCACTCACTCCATGCTTTTTTCAGGTAGAAAGAGGGGGAAAATGACGTTTTCATGTATGAAGGGTGACAATATTTTTTTTAATCGAGTTGAAGTACCATATCGGTACAGCCAAAAAACAAAATGGCGGCGAGATAATTTTTTTAGTTTCTACATTATTTACTCTACGGTTACGATATTCAAAATGGTCATAGATTTGGCTAAAAAAGTGACACTGAAAAAAGGTTTGATTAAAAAAACAAAATGGCGGCCGAGATATTTTACCTAGAAAATTGACATTTTTCGACCTCTGTTCGGGCGGATGTCGTTTCTTTTGTGGTGGGTTCGGAGGGGGGATTTTTACGCTGGCGACTCGGAAGTATAGTCGATTTTCACGTATGGGGAGTTTTCATTTGCGCTTCAACATGGCGGCGGTGGTGGCGGCCATTTTGTTTCGGGAATGAAAAATCGCCATTTTCCAGTGAGATTTTCTCTAAGATGGCGGCGTCGGACGGATTCGTGTTCTATGGGCCGGTCGTGGGGCTCGCTGCTAACTTTTTAAGTTGGTAATAATTTCTACCATTTTCGTGGTAGTTTAGGAGATTTTGGGAGAAAAGTGAAATTTCGAAATACGCACTTTTCGCGGAAAACAGACTCGATGCGGTGTGGCGCCGGGGGAGCCCTATGACTTTTAGTAGTTTTCGTTTCTGCGAACTGACAACCCTGGGCTCCACGGTAGAAAACGTGTTTTTCGACATGCCCTCATAACCCGAATTGTTTGGGAATCTGGGTGGCCAGCGGAGAAAATCTGTGAATGAGGTGTCGCGCCAGATATTGTCGTGACTATGGGAAAATTATGAAACTCGGAAAAGTCAATATGGCGGCGCCGGCAGCGGCCATTTTGTGATTTTTTCACTTTTTCGAAAAATTCAAACGCACTTTTAGCACACATGGCAACATCGGAACGCTTCGCCTGGTATGGACTGGTCGTGAGTGTCCGCTGGCTCTTTCGAATGACGTGAAATTTTTCCCCGATTTTAGGGTAATTTCGGAAATTTACCCCAAAAAGATGAAAAGTAGAAGGAGCCATTTTGGGATTTCAAAAATGCATTTCCTCGACGGAGAGCACTCTCCGAAATGACATTTGGCTATTTTCATCGTCGTCACCTGGCAACCCCGGTGGTTGCGGCGGTTTGAAAAATTTTGCCCATTTTTTACTTTATCGACTCTAGCGCGGTCAGTATTGCCACTAGGAAAATGGTAAAAACTGCATCGGATGCGCTATCGAGTTGGCCACACCGGTACGGAGCCGGATTTTCAAAATTCAAGATGGCGGCCGAATCAGCGGCCGTTTTATCCGGAAAATTGGGTATCGTCACCATAACGAGCTGATTTTGACGCACTCGCCGACATTTGTCAGAGGACTTCCGGGGAAACATTTTTTAGGCAAGTAGCTAAAGTGTTGCCAGGCTAAAAAAAAACTTGAAAATTTTTTATACTTTATGAGATTTTTGAGGAAACACTTTTTGTCGAATTTTTGAACTTTTTTGATGCAAATATTTTAATTTTAACTTTTCAAGATACCCGATGGAAAAAATAGAACAATCGACTGGTAACACTGAGAGCAAACGACGTTTGAAATTCAACCTCGATTTTGACCGACTTGGCAATCCCGCAGGTATTTGGCGTATATGGAGCTATTGTGTATCTCTATAGACTCTTTCATGTGGTGGAAAAAAATACCCGATTTTAGGGTAGTTTTTGAGATTTACCCCAAAAACTATAAATGTCAAAGGAACAATTTTAGAACATGAAAATTGGTATCCGACGATGGAGGGCGCATCCCGAAATCACATTTGACTGTTTTCATCGCCTACATCTGGCAACCCTGGCAGCTACGGCGGGTTAAAGATTTAATGCCCACTGTTCACGTTTTGGACTCTAGCTCAGTCACTATCGCCGCTAGGAAAATAACAAAAACTGCGTTGGATGCGCCAATAGGTGGGCTACATAGGTCTTAAGTTGAAATTTCAAAATTCAAGATGGCGGCTTAAACTGTGGCCATTTTATCTAGAACAT